CGGGTTAGGTACAAACAACTGAAAATGCTGGTATACGATGGATCACTATGAGATCTGACTGGATATAAGAAACTAAGCTTTTTTCATTTCCTTTTATGTTTTTTGTCTCTTTTTCTTGTGATGTCACTAGGGTGAAATTTGATCACCACCAGCAGACTTAGATCCTGATTTTGGCTCTGATGATGGCTTTCAACACACTACTCACATCGCTTCCATGTGCGATGCGTTTGGTAAAACTAATCGGAACGTGCATCCTATTAAATTGGATCTATTTCAAAGTTTCTCTTTTGTGGAAACATGATTTTGAGATTTTTACTTAATTCTGATTTATTACAAAAGGACCATATAATATACTTCCTGACATCGAGCCTGAACCGTCGTACGACAGCGCGAAGGATTTTACGGTTAATTACGCCGGAGATTTCGGCCCCGAAACCGCTATCCAAGAATTACAGACTGATCAGGGAACTCGAGCGCCCTTATGCTTGAGGCTGGATTAATGTTCAGGTTATTTAGACGGTTACACGCTGCAACGCTGCACGCTGTTGCGCCATGCAACGTTTATCGCAACGCTGTACTCGTTGCAAGACAAGTTGCAGAGAAAATTGCTTCGTTTAATCGCGCCTTAAGGGCAAGGTTAGTCGGCCTCTAGGCCGTAGAAGATTAACCCCTTGCTATGACCAGCAAACTTTAAAATCGTGATAGTGACTCTGATGGCTTTGAACGCACAACTCACCATTCCATTTGGGATGCGTTTAGTAAAACTAAAATAGAAAGTGCATCGTGATCATGAAAAAGACCTTCATGGATTTCAGTTTTATGATTGTCTTTCCTCGACATAGAATATAAACAACCTTTTTCGTGGCACTTTGAAAAAAATTCTACTATTACGCATTAGGTGCCCGGCAGTTTGTAATTTTCTACTATTTCTAGCCAAAACGACTGCTTATGGTTTAGACTATCCTAGTTTTGTAGAGCAATTCTCAAGTAATTCTCATCTGCTGGTTAAAYGGATTAAAAATTGATCTATTYGTCTTTCCTAAACATRGAATAAAAACGACYCTCTTTGTGGCACCTGGAAAAAAATTGACTGTCGTGTACGCAATAAGTTGGCATGCTGTGCAACGTGCACCAACTCGTACGCGCTTTTCTTGTTTGCATCTAGTGACTTGTTTCTTATGTTYAGCAACTCATCTCAAATGCCAAAACATATATAACAYGTATCAGTTTCTTCTTTGTTTAACAATTGCTGCATGCCTGTTATGGACAACCGTAGTCTGCATCCTCATTATTCGTATTTATTTATTTCTGTAGCAATAAACT